CCTCATTCGCTCTTAGACTCATGTGGTCGAGTCAATCTCCCCAAGCCCGTTAGCTCAACCTCATTTGCTCTCAAACTCGTGTGCTCGAGCCCATCTCCCCAAGCCCGTCAGCTCAACCTCATTCGCTCTCAGACTCGTGTGCTCGAGCCCATCTCCCCCTGCCCATTAGCTCAACCTCATTTGCTCTCAGACTCGTGTGCTCGAGCCCATCTCCCCAAGCCCATCAGCTCAACCTCATTCGCTCTCAGACTTGGTGCTCGAGCCCATCTCCCCAAGCCTGTCAGCTCAACCTCATTCGCTCTCAGACTCGTGTGCTCGAGCCCATCTCCCCAAGCCCGTTAGCTCAAACTCATTCGCTCTAAGACTCGTGTGCTCGAGCCCATCTCCCCAAGCCCATCAGCTCAACCTCATTCGCTCTCAGACTCGTGTGCTCAAGACCATCTCCCCAAGCTTGTCAGCTCAACTTCATTCGCTCTTAGACTCATGTGCTGGAGCCCATCTCCCCAAGCCCGTTAGCTCAAACTCATTTGCTCTCAAACTCGTGTGCTCGAGCCCATCTCCCCAAGCCCGTCAGCTCAACCTCATTCGCTCTCAGAATCGTGTACTCAAGACCATCTCCCCAAGCTTGTCAGCTCAACTTCATTCGCTCTTAGACTCGTGTGCTCGAGCCCGTCTCCCCAAGCCCGTTAGCTCAACCTCATTCGCTCTCAGACTCGTGTGCTCGAGCCCATCTCCCCAAGCCCATCAGCTCAACCTCATTCGCTCTCAGACTCGTGTGCTCAAGACCATCTCCCCAAGCCTGTCAGCTCAACTTCATTCGCTCTTAGACTCATGTGGTCGAGTCAATCTCCCCAAGCCCGTTAGCTCAACCTCATTTGCTCTCAGACTCGTGTGCTCGAGCCCATCTCCCCAAGCCCGTCAGCTCAACCTCATTCGCTCTCAGAATCGTGTGCTCAAGACCATCTCCCCAAGCCTGTCAGCTCAACTTCATTCGCTCTTAGACTTGTGTGCACGAGCCCATCTCCCTAATCATGTCAGCTCAACCTCATTCGCTCTCAGACTCGTGTGCTCGAGCCCATCTCACCCTGCCCGTTAGCTCAACCTCATTCGCTCTTAGACTCGTGTGCTCGAGCCCATCTCCCCAAGCCCGTTAGCTCAACCTCATTCGCTCTCAGACTTGTGTGCTCGAGCCCATCTCACCAAGCTCGTCAGCTCAACTTCATTCGCTCTCCGACTCGTGTGCTCGAGCCCATCCCCCCAAGCCCCTTAGCTCAACCTCATTCGCTCTCAGACTCGTGTGCTCGAGCCCGTCTCCCCAAGCCCATCAGCTCAACCTCATTCGCTCTCAGACTTGTGTGCTCGAGCCCAACTCCCCAAGCCTGTCAGCTCAAGTTCATTCGCTCTTAGACTCGTGTGCACGAGCCCATCTCCCTAAGCATGTCAGCTCAACCTCATTTGCTCTCAGACTCGTGTGCTCGAGCCCATCTCCCCCTTCCCGTTAGCTCAACCTCATTCGCTCTTAGACTCATGTGCTCGAGCCCATCTCCCCAAGCCTGTCAGCTCAACCTCATTCGCTCTCAGACTCGTGTGCTCAAGACCATCTCCCCAAGCCTGTCAGCTCAACTTCATTCGCTCTTAGACTCATCTGCTCGAGCCCATCTCCCCAAGCCCGTTAGCTCAACCTCATTTGCTCTCAAACTCATGTGCTCGAGCCCATCTCCCCAAGCCCGTCAGCTCAACCTCATTCGCTCTCAGAATCGTGTGCTCAAGACCATCTCCCCAAGCCTGTCAGCTCAACTTCATTCGCTCTTAGACTCGTGTGCTCGAGCCCATCTCCCCAAGCCCGTTAGCTCAACCTCATTTGCTCTCAGACTCGTGTGCTGGAGCCCATCTCCCCAAGCCCGTTAGCTCAACCTCATTTTTGGGTTGCGTAGCAACCTTATACATTCGTTTTCACTTTTAGGTTGGCTGATGTGAACAGTGATAACCCTCCAAGATTTTGGAAGAAAACACTGTTCACATAAGTTACCCTACAAGTGAAACCAAATGTGTCCAATCATCCATAATCGTCGATAAGTACGGCGAATGGAATAATTGGACAATCTCACAGTACGAATGACGAAACAAAAAAACAAACAAAAAAACAAATCAGCATGACGATCGGAAAGCACACATACGATGCATTCGACACACTCCGAAATAGACACAAACTACCTGACCGCACACGAACTTGCTAAAAAGCGTTTGACAATCAAGAATGTGTCAAGGCTAATGCTAAATGCATCGATGATGATGCATCAGAGGTTGATATGGTGCGGAAGGGGCGAGCAAAGCTGCCCCACCGACGATCACAACCCCAGTTGCATACACGAGGCACTCAACACCAATCCCCGAAACAGACACAAATGACAACACACAAACTTGCACAAAAACGCTGAACACTAAACAGTTGTGAATGCTTCAAGGCGAATGCTAAATGCATCGATGATGCAACTGAGGTTGATATGGTGCGGAAGGGGCGAGCAAAGCTGCCCCACCGACGATCACAACCCCAGTTGCATACACGAGGCACTCAACACCAATCCCCGAAACAGACACAAACAACACCAACATGTATGGACAGACACATGCAAGCTCACTCACACACACACCTACACACACACACCTACACGCACACGCATACAAACACAAAAGCTTACTACCGCTATTGAACATGCAATGCAAGCGTAACGAATGAGCCCAGCCTGTATAAATAATCGTTAATCTGTCCCAGATTCCTCTCCCTCCCTCCCTTGTCTCCCATCCCCCCCTCCCTTCCAATATCCCCTATTTTATTCGACCCTCCCGTCTCTGTTTACCCTCTCTCAAACCCCCCCCCCCCCCTTTTTCCACAAGAAAAGCCAAATAGTGCAGCTTGAACTCCCTGCACAAGAAAGCACAAACAGCACAAACAGCGCATGCAACTCACACTCCCTGGACAAGAAAGCAAAAACAGATAGTGCAACTGACACTCCCTGCACAAACAAAAACAAACAATCACAGGAATGCAGCCCACCCGAGCACAAGAAACGAGGTAGGAGTTATAACAAGGCGCTGATGAAGAATGAAGTACAAAAATAAAGATGAGGGACGAAAGCAATCAAATTTGACATCGATTCGGTAAAAGATATCGTGTCGTCACACATACCACGCCAACATGCACGCAATACCTCGCTGCCACCCTCGCCTTCACCTTGACACTCTCATCCTCACACCTCACTCTCGCACTCACTTTCCAATTCACGTACACACTATCGCTCCCAACTTCTGTTATACACGCTCACAGAAACACACACTCCCTGCACTCTCACACTCACACAAAACTCGCATGCACTAGCACGCACACTCGCACGCACCCTTGCACGCACCCTCGCACTCACCCTCAAACTCATCTTCGCACTCATGTTCGCACGTACCCTCGCTCTCACCCTCGCACTTACCATTGCACTCACACCCGCACCCTCGCACTCACCTTTGCACTCACTTTCGCACACTCACTTGCACTCACACTCATACTCACACTCACTCTCTCACTCTAACACTTGCTCTTGCACTGACCCTTGCACTCACCTTCGCATTCACTCTCGCACTCATGCTCGCACTTCCTCTCGCATTCACCCTCGTACACACACTCTTATGCACCCTCAAGAGCATGCATGCACTCACTCGCACTCACACCCGCACTCATTCTCTCACACTCTCTCGCACTCACGCTCGCAACCACTCACGAACACACAAGTACTTCTAACCGTTCTGAGACACACTCACAGAAACACACACATAACCCTCACACTCACCTTCGGACTCGCGCTCGCGCTTACCCTTGCACTCACTCGAACACGCACATGCACACATAGCCGCACGCACACTCGAACCCAACTCGCACACACACCCACACTTGCACCTACAGCCACGCCCACACTCAGGCTCGCACTCCTTCTCGCAGTCCTACTCGCCCTCTATCTCCCACTTTCTCTTGCACATACTCGTACTCACCCTCGCACTCACTCTTACACTCACACCGTGATGACCCTTGCACTCAACATTGCAGCCACACTCACTCAACTCACTCACTCAGCCTCACACTCTCGCACTCACTCTTCACGCACACAAATATACTCTCAACTCTTCTTTGACAATCATAAAAACATACACACCCTTGCATATGTCCTCGCACTCACCCTCACACACACTCGAACGCACCCTCGTGTTCCTTTGCACTCAGCCTCGCACACACGCGCACACACACACACACACAAACACTCATGCGCACACTCACCCTCAAACTCGCCCTCACACTCACACTTGCACTCACTCTCAAACTTGCTTTCTCACTCACCTTCTCACTACTCTCGCACTCACTCATGCGCTTGCTCTCTAATTCAACCTCGCACTCGCCCTTGCCCACAACTGCACGCGCATCTCACTTTCGCACTCACACCCACACAAGCACCTAGATTCACACCCGCACTCCCCCTCTCGCACACTCTCGACTCACTCTTGCAACCACTCACACACACTCACGCCCTAACCACAAGCGCACCAGTGCAGAGCCCTAATCGCAAGCGACATAAGCGCAAGCGGATTAGGCGCAAGCGCCCGCGGCACCCACGCCAACGGCGCAAGCGCGCACACACTCTCTCCCCCGCCTCTCTCTCCCACACGCGCTTCGTGCTCCCTCCAGCTCTTCATTCTCTCTCAACATAAGCTGTCTCACGCGCACTCCCTGCATGCTTGCTCCTGTGCGAATGCTCTCCCTCGCGCTCCCTCTCTCCCCCTCTTCAATTGGTAGTGCAACGCAAGACGAGGCAAGACTAAACGCAGAAACTACAAATAAGGTAGGAAACAATGGAATCTCAGAGGGGTGGGAGGAAGAAACGCACCTGCTAATGACGGTGCCTCGAAGACCAACCCGCGCTAGCGCACCAGCTCTCGTTCGCGCACCATCCTTATCCATGCTCTCAAACCTCCCCACGGCGGGACGGGAGGGAGTGGCGCGGCCGCGATGAGGGCGAGGAGCGGCGGAATGGAAGGGAGAGACGGCGGCAGGATGGGAGGGAGTGGCGACGGCGGGATGAGAGAGAGTGGCGAAGCAGGATGGGAGGGAGAGGCGGTGGCGGGATGGGAGGGAGAGGCGGCAGCGAGATGGGAGGGAGAGGCGGCGGCGGGATGGGAGGGAGAGACGGCGGCGAGAGGGTAGGGAGTGGCGACGGCGGGTAGGCGAGAGAGGCAACGGCGGGGTGGGAGGGGACGACGGCGGGATGGGAGGGAGCCGAGGCGACGGGATGGGACGGAGCGGAGGCGACGGGATGGGAGGGAGCGGAGGCGACGGGATGGGGAGGGAGGCGACGATGGGGAGGGCGAGGCGACGGCGGAGGGAGAGCGACGGCGGAGGGAGAGGCGACGGCTGAGGGAGAGGCGACGGCGGAGGGAGAGGGGACGGCGGGGTGGGAGGGAGCGGCGGCGGCGGGAGGAGGGAGCGGCGACGGCGGGTAGGAAGGAGAGGCGAGGATCGGTGGGAGGTGAGGGTGGGTGGGAGGGAGAGAGGACGGCGCGGTGGGAAAGAAAGGATGGTGGGGTGGAGGTGGATGCTATGACGAGGTGGGTGGGAGGGAGGGAGAGGGAACAGGTGGGTGGATTGTCACGTGGAAACACACGCACATTCACGTGACACTGACTGGGCTGAAAACAAATCTATAAAAATAGTGCAATGGTACAATACAAAGTATCATATTTGTTCACTACATAAAAAAAACGATCAATGTGTCTCAATGTTTAAAAATCATAAACATCCAGTTTGAATCGAATACATTGCACCATCAAGAAGCACGTGTCGTATTCTTTAATACGGTAGACCTAAAAATGGCGCTAAATAAGGAAACAAAACTGCACTTCCTCTTTTTTTTTGTCAATGTGGAATGTAACATCTACGCAACCCGTCCGACGTTAACGTCGAGTCTTGTCTCTCAGACTCCTGTGCTCGAGCCCATCTCCCCAAGCCCATCAGCTCAACCTCATTCGCTCCCAGACTCGTGTGCTCGAGACCATCTCCCCAAGCCCGTCACCTCAACCTCATTCGCTCTTACACTCGTGTGCTGGAGACCATCTCCCCAAGCCCATCAGCCCAACCTCATTCGCTCTCAGACTCGTGTGCTCGAGCCCATCTCCCCAAGCATGTCAGCTCAACTTCATTCGCTCTCAGACTCGTGTGCTCGAGCCCATCTCCCCAAGCCTGTCAGCTCAACCTCATTCGCTCTCACACTCGTGTGCTCGAGCCCATCTCCACGAGCCCGTCAGCTCAACCTCATTCGCTCTCAGACTCGAGTGCTCAAGACCATCTCCCCAAGCCTGTCAGCTCAACTTCATTCGCTCTTAGACTCGTATGCTCAAGCCCATCTCCCCAAGCCCGTCAACTCAACTTCATTCGCTCTAAGAGTCGTGTGCTCGAGCCCATCTCCCCAAGCCTGTTAGCTCAACCTCATTCGCTCTCAGACTCGTGTGCTCGAGCCCATCTCCCCAAGCCCGTCAGCTCAACCTCATTTGCTCTCAGACTCGTGTGCTCAAGACCATGTCCCCAAGCCTGTCAGCTCAACTTCATTCGCTCACAGACTCGTGTGCTCGAGCCCATCTCCCCAAGCCCGTTAGCTCAACCTCATTTGCTCTCAGACTCGTGTGCTCGAGCCCATCTCCCCAAGCCCATCAGCTCAACCTCATTCGCTCTCAGACTCGTGTGTTCGAGCCCATCTCCCCAAGCCCGTCAACTCAACCTCATTCGCTCTCAGACTCGTGTGCCCGAGCCCATCTCCCCCTGCCCGTTAGCTCAAACTCATTCACTCTCAGACTCGTGTGCTCGAGCCCATCTCCCCAACCCCGTAAGCTCAACCTCATTCGCTCTCAGACTCGTGTGCACCAGCCCATCTCCCCAAGCCCGTCAGCTCAACATCATTCGCTCTTAGACCCATGTGCTCGAGCCCATCTCCCCAAGCCCGTCAGCTCAACCTCATTTGCTCTCAGACTCGTCTGCTCGAGCCCATCTCCCCAAGCCCGTCAGCTCAACCTCATTTGCTCTCAGACTCGTGTGCTGGAGGCCATTTACCCAAGCCCGTTAGCTCAACTTTATTCGCTCTTAGACTCGTGTGTTCGAGCCCATCTCCCCAAGCCCGTCAGCTCAACCTCATTTGCTCTCAGACTCGTTTGCTCGAGCCCATCTCCCCAAGCCAGTTAGCTCAACCTCATTTGCTCTCAGACTCGTGTGCTCGAGCCCATCTCCCCAAGCCCATCAGCTCAACCTCATTCGATCTCAGACTCGTGTGCTCAAGACCATCTCCCCAAGCCTGTCAGCTCAACTTCATTTCGCTCTTAGACTCATGTGGTCGAGTCAATCTCCCCAAGCCCATTAGCTCAACCTCATTCGCTCTCAGACTCGTGTGCTCGAGCCCATCTCCCCAATCCCGTCAGCTCAACCTCATTCGCTCTCAGAATGGTGTGCTCAAGACCATATCCCCAAGCCTGTCAGCTCAACTTAATTCGCTCTTAGACTCGTGTGCACGAGCCCATCTCCCTAAGCATGTCAGCTCAACCTCATTCGCTCTCAGACTCGTGTGCTCGAGCCCATCTTCCCCTGCCCGTTAGCTCAATCTCATTCGCTCTTAGACTCGTGTGCTCGAGCCCATCTCCCCAAGCCCGTCAGCTCAACCTCATTCGCTCTCAGACTCGTGTGCTCGAGCCCATCTGACCAAGCTCATTAGCTCAACTTCATTCGCTCTCAGACTCGTGTGCTCGAGCCCATCTCCCCAAGCCCGTCAGCTCAACCTCATTCGCTCTCAGACTCGTGTGCTCGAGCCCATCTCCCCAAGCCTGTCAGCTCAACCTCATTCGCTCTCAGAATCGTGTGCTCAAGACCATCTCCCCAAGCCTGTCAGCTCAACTTCATTCGCTCTCAGACTCGTGTGCTCGAGCCCATCTCCCCCTGCTCGTTAGCTCAACCTCATTCGCTCTTAGACTCGTGTGCTCGAGCCCATCTCCCCAAGCCCGTCAGCTCAACCTCATTCGCTCTCAGACTCGTGTGCTCGAGCCCATCTGACCAAGCTCGTTAGCTCAACTTCATTCGCTCCCAGACTCGTGTGCTCGAGCCCATCTCCCCAAGCCCGTCAGCTCAACCTCATTCGCTCTCAGACTCGTGTGCTCGAGCCCATCTCCCCAAGCCTGTCAGCTCAACCTCATTCGCTCTCAGAATCGTGTGCTCAAGACCATCTCCCCAAGCCTGTCAGCTCAACTTCATTCGCTCTCAGACTCGTGTGCTCGAGCCCATCTCCCCCTGCTCGTTAGCTCAACCTAATTCGCTCTTAGACTCATGTGCTCGAGCCCATCTCCCCAAGCCCGTCAGCTCAACCTCATTCGCTCTCAGACTCGTGTGCTCCAGCCCATCTGACCAAGCTCGTCAGCTCAACTTCATTCGCTCTCAGACTCGTGTGCTCGAGCTTATCTCCCTAAGCATGTCAGCTCAACCTCATTCGCTCTTAGACTCGTGTGCTCGAGCCCATCTCCCCAAGCCCGTCAGCTCAACCTCATTCGCTCTCAGACTCGTGTGCTCGAGCCCATCTGACCAAGCTCGTTAGCTCAACTTCATTCGCTCCCAGACTCGTGTGCTCGAGCCCATCTCCCCAAGCCCGTCAGCTCAACCTCATTCGCTCTCAGACTCGTGTGCTCGAGCCCATCTCCCCAAGCCTGTAAGCTTAACCTCATTCGCTCTCAGAATCGTGTGCTCAAGACCATCTCCCCAAGCCCGTCAGCTCAACCTCATTCGCTCTCAGACTCGTGTGCTCGAGCCCATCTCCCCAAGCCTGTCAGCTCAACCTCATTCGCTCTCAGAATCGTGTGCTCAAGACCATCTCCCCAAGCCTGTCAGCTCAACTTCATTCGCTCTCAGACTCGTGTGCTCGAGCCCATCTCCCCCTGCTCGTTAGCTCAACCTAATTCGCTCTTAGACTCGTGTGCTCGAGCCCATCTCCCCAAGCCCGTCAGCTCAACCTCATTCGCTCTCAGACTCGTGTGCTCGAGCCCATCTGACCAAGCTCGTCAGCTCAACCTTATTCGCTCTCAGACTCGTGTGCTCGAGCCCATCTCCCCAAGCCCGTCAGCTCAACCTCATTCGCTCTCAGACTCGTGTGCTCAAGACCATATCCCCAAGCCTGTCAGCTCAGCTTCATTCGCTCTTAGACTCATGTGCTCGAGCCCATCTCCCCAAGCCCGTTAGCTCAACCTCATTTGCTCTCAAACTCGTGTGCTCGAGCCCATCTCCCCAAGCCTGTCAGCTCAACCTCATTCGCTCTCAGAATCGTGTGCTCAAGACCATCTCCCCAAGCCTGTCAGCTCAACTTCATTCGCTCTTAGACTCGTGTGCTCAAGCCCATCTCCCCAAGCCCGTCAGCTCAACCTCATTCGCTCTCAGACTCGTGTGCTCGAGCCCATCTTCCCAAGCCAGTTCAACCTCATTCGCTCTCAGACTCGTGTGTTCGAGCCCATCTCCCCAAGCCTGTCAGCTCAACCTCATTCGCTCTCAGACTCGTGTGTTCGAGCCCATCTCCCCAAGCCCGTCAGCTCAACTTCATTCGCTCTTAGACTCGTGTGCTCGAGCCCATCTCCCCAACCCCGTCAGCTCAACCTCATTCGCTCTAAGACTCGTGTGCTCGAGCCCATCTCCCCAAGCCCGTCAGCTCAACATCATTCGCTCTTAGACTCATGTGCTCGAGCCCATCTCCCCAAGCCCATCAGCTCAACCTCATTTGCTCTGAGACTCGTGTGCTCGAGCCCATCTCCCCAAGCCCGACAGCTCAACCTCATTCGCTCTCAGACTCCTGTGCTGGAGGCCATTTACCCAAGCCCGTTAGCTCAACTTCATTCGCTCTTAGACTCGTGTGATCGAGCCCATCTCCCCAAGCCCGTTAGCTCAACCTCATTTGCTCTCAGACTCGTGTGCTCGAGCCCATCTCCCCAAGCCCGTGAGCTCAACTTCATTCGCTCTCAGACTCGTGTGAGGGAGCCCATCTCCCCAAGCCCGTCAGTTCAACCTCATTCGCTCTCAGACTCGTGTGTTCGAGCCCATCTCCCCCAACCCATTAGCTCAACCTCATTTGCTCTGAGACTCGTGTGCTCGAGCCCATCTCCCCAAGCCCATCAGCTCAACTTCATTCGCGCTCAGGCTCATGTGCTCGAGCCCATCTCCCCAAGCCCTTCAGCTCAACCTCATTCGCTCTTTGACTCGTGTGCTTGAGCCCATCTCCCCAAGCCTGTCAGCTCAACCCCATTCGCTCTCAGACTCGTGTGCTCGAGCCCATCTCCCCCTGCCCGTTAGCTCAACCTCATTCGCTCTCACACTCGTGTGCTCGAGCCCATCTCCCCAAGCCCGTCAGCTCAACCTCATTCGCTCTCAGACTCGTGTGCTCAAGACCATCTCCCCAAGCCTGTCAGCTCAACTTCATTCGCTCTTAGACTCGTGTGCTCGAGCCCATCTCCCCAAGCCCGTCAGCTCAACCTCATTCGCTCTCATACTCGTATGCTCGAGCCCATCTCCCCAAGCCCGTCAGCTCAACTTCATTCGCTCTCACACTCGTTTGCTCGAGCCCATCTCCCCAAGCCTGTTAACTCAACCTCATTCGCTCTCAGACTCGTGTGCTCGAGCCCATCTCCCCAAGCCCGTCAGCTCAACATCATTCGCTCTTAGACTCATGTGCTCGAGCCCATCTCCCCAAGCCCGTCAGCTCAACCTCATTTGCTCTCAGAATCGGGTGCTCGAGCCCATCTCCCCAAGCCCGTCAGTTCAACCTCATTCGCTCTCAGACTCGTGTGCTGGAGGCCATTTACCCAAGCCCGTTAGCTCAACTTCATTCGCTCTTAGACTCGTGTGTTCGAGCCCATCTCCCCAAGCCCATTAGCTCAACCTCATTTGCTCTCAGACTCGTTTGCTCGAGCCCATCTCCCCAAGCCCGTCAGCTCAACTTCATTCGCTCTCAGGCTCATGTGCTCGAGCCTATCTCCCCAAGCCCGTCAGCTCAACCTCATTCGCTCTCAGACTCGTGTGCTCGAGCCCATCTCCCCGAGCCCGTC